TATGGATCTTTGTTGAGCGTCATTATCCAATAAATAAAAGCTATCCCGGTTAATAACATTAATATAGGGCGGTAAAATATCATGTTGGAATTGAAAAATTTTTTTGTTGATCCAAAAATTTTTTCATTTACGTCATAAAAAAACGTGTTTCTGTGTTACTCCAATGAACTTTAATTTTAATTTCAAGTGTATACTTTTGTATATATAGATGATCAAAATTTGTGATGAATCACTTAAAGTTTATAAAATTATTTATTTGAGGAAAAAAATGGTTTCTACGTAATTTAAAACATTTTTACAACCATCAGGCGTAAAAAAATTAAAAAACGAGTTCTGGAATTAAATATTGTTAAATTATAGGTCAGCATCGAAATTTGGGATTATATTATTCGAGCAAATCGAAGATATGGAAGTAGTAATAGATGATGATGATAAAACTATTACAGAATGAAGTAATGATTGTTGTGATTAAAAATTCCGTTAAAACATTTTGTTCCTTTAATAAGATTTGATTTTTATGAAAAAATCAAAAATTTAATAATAATCTTATGAAAAGCCTCTTATGGACATTCACGAAGGTTAATTTTTCAAGATTTAAGAATAGGAAAATAAAACCATCGAGTTCAAGAATGAAAGATTTAATCTCAAGTTGGATGATATTATTTAAATGGATTTTCAGTTGAAGTATATGATCTTGAATTTCAAGAAAAATGTTATAATACGAAAATACTTTGGGTTTTTATGATGAAGTAAGCATACGTGGGAAAATGATTGATTGAAACGTTGGACGCACCAATTAAAATCTTTAATATTATTAACTTTACTCAACATGTTATTTTGGATTTTTTAATATAGTGCAAGACGCCAATGACTGCGCCAAGTTTCGAAATGAACCCATAAAATTTGCTATCAAGCAATTCACTTAATACAGAGACCTATATTTCCTAAATGCATATTATGCCAAACCTCATTTTATGCCTTTTACGAACACGGGCCACCACAAAGATATCTTGGGTTTTCTTGCTTATAAAATCGAGAAATTTGTCACGATATGATGATTATTGGTGAAAATACATTATTATTTTTTTAATTGTTGATATATATTAATTAAAAAGTTGAAACCTGTTTGTTTAATGGATAAAGTATTTGTTTTTATGATTCGTATATATATATATATATATATGCATATGTAAATGAAGTCTTGAAAATCCACCTAATCAACAAGGAAATATTTATGTGATGGCAGACTATAAAGCTTGTCGAAAAATTCAAGGAGTCAATATTTACCATGTTGATAACAATGTATGTGATTTAAAAGATGAAGATTTTTTGAAAAAGCAGCTGTATAATATAAGAGCAATATCTCAAAACACACAGATGTGAAAGGAGAAGAAAATGTTGATGGTAAGTCCATTTGATTATGACTAGCAGGTATAACTTTAATATATATTGCTAAACTAAAAGAACTAAAAAATAGATGGTTTGCCTTTTTACCTTCTTGATAATAAGATTTTATCCCATATTATTATTTTTTATTAGGTATTAGCCTATTTGTATTCATTATTTTTCTTTCTTGGTAAATTTCATAAGTAAATTTCTCCTTCCTTTGGGGGTCTGAACATCAGCTAATTAAATACATAAGGAGCAATTTCTCGCCTTTATTTTTGGGTTCCGTGGCGTATATTATTATTATTTATGTAAATTGAATATTTTTATGCAAGTAGATCAATTATTATTATGATCACGTTATTTAAGATTGTCTGTGTAATCAATCATTCATTAAATAATGAACAAACCAACCTATTTTGGTAATGCTTGTTATCATTATAACTGCATAACTGATCTTTTTTTTAAAGTTTTTCAACAGTATTACTATTAGCATAATAATAATAATGTGTGTACGATCAAAAATATTTATCAGTATTAGGTTGGGAATTTTAACATTAAAGTATTAAAAAAAATTTTCATCCCTTTTATATATTAATTAGTATTAGAAGAAGGAATTGTGAAAATTTGTATTGTATAACCATGTTTATGTAATTTCAAAGCACATTAATGTAACACGGAAAGTCTTTAAAAAAAAATCAAAAGTTTTTCTTAAAAAAATTTTTTTAATTTAAAGAGAAAAAATGTCTGCAGCAACACCAACTCCTTTATCTTATTCTACACCACCACCTAAAGATCAAAGTATAATTGACGAAGAACCATATCTTTATTTGATTATATTTCTAATGGTTATAGTGTTCTTTAGTGGTATATGTTGGATATTTTGTTGTGGGACTTGTGTAGGTCAAGATTTATTGAAATTAATGGGGCTAAGGAGATTTTTACCCGATGATGTAAATAGTTTTAGGATTAACAGTAGAAGAAATAATAGTGGTAGTGGTAATAATAATAATAATGGGAACAGTCATAATTATCAATATGTTAGTGTTAGAAATGATGAGGAGGAATGGGAAATGTATAATGATAATAATATTACGTCTAATAATGAAGGCGAAGATGAAGATGACATTATTGTAATTGAATAATAACAACAGAAGGGATAAAGTGGAAGATATTACCGACTAAATTAGATGAGAATAAAAATAATCCTAACTTCGGACAATATATGTTAATATTACCTTGCTATAATCACCACATTATGTAAATTTTTTTACAATAATAATAATATAATTTATAATAACTTAATTAATAAAATTAATTATAAATTTTCATATATAATGCAATTAATAATTCTTTATACAAAGAAAAGAATTTATAAATATATAGTTAATTCATATATTAATTCATTGTGTATAGTAGTATATTTAATTTATTATTTATTTATAATAGAAGGATTTCAATATCACAAATAAATTAATATTTTAGTAATAATATTTTTGTAATTATTTTTATAATCATTTTCCTTGTAATTTTTCTGCCAACAATTCTCTGAAATCTGAAATAATTTTGTTTTCTTTTTTTGATTTTTCTTCTTGACTGAAAGCGGAAAAGAATTAAAATGTATATGATATTAATTATTAATATTTATTATTAAACGTTTAAAGATTGAATATTTGCAATAATAATAATAATAATAATAATTTATTTACATACTTGAACAACATTAAAGCTCTTTTTTCTTCAGCTGAAATAACTTGATTTTCTTTACGTATACGTACTGCATTCATACGACGATGACTAAATAATGAATTAATGAATTAGTTTTAATTAATAAATGTGTCATTAGCACACATAAATGTTTAAACATATTGTGTGAATTATTTACCGGCTACCACTCATCACAAAGCCGACACCTTCAAATGATTGAATCTCATTACTTGTCAATCCTATTTCACCACGACGTGGAATACGTTTACCTTCTTGAACATATGCTGCCATTGCAGAACCTTCACCTGCCAATAAAGCTCCACCATAACTGTTTTATATCATTTAATTAATATAATATTATTATTATCATTGTTAATAATAAATTATTTATTTGCTGAATATTTAAAACTTACTCTCTTTCACCTAGTCTTGCATCGGCTAGTGGTAATGGAACAGGCCCAACTATCACATCATCAGACATATCTATCATAAATGCAAAAAAAAATAAAAGAATCAATAAACAATTATTATTATTAAAAAAATATAATTATAAAAATTAAAAAACCTTTTTTGGAGTGATAATTATCAGTAGTAGTTTTATCATCTAAAAGATCATTAGATTCTTCATGAATCCTTTTAGATCTGGGAATCATTCCTTCTTCTTCTTCTTCATCTTCAGTATAATTATCATAATCACGATATTTATCTGATCCATCCTCGCTTGAATGATTTTTTGGACTAGGATAACGTGGGGAAGAATCAAGTTTTTTATGACTTTTTGGACTAGGATAACTTGAGGAAGAATCATATTTTTTATGACTTTTTGGTGATGATGACTTTTTATGTTTATATGAAGAACTTTTGTGTGATCTACTACGACGTTTATGTTTTTTTGATTTATTACTTTTAGTCCTACCTACAAAAATAAAGTTATTATATATTATCATGATTACTATATTGTTATTATTATTATTATTATTATTATTATTATTATTATTATTATTATTATTATTATTATTATTATTATTATTTACCTTTATCATCACTATATGAATCAGAATATGAATCAGAAATATCAGATTCACTAAAGCTTGACGATCTTTTCTTTTTCTTTTTATTTCGTTGTTGTGATTTCTCTTCTTTTCTGAAAAAAAAAATTTTTTTTTTGTTTTTTAAAAGGAAAATGAAACAAAAGGGTCAACATAAGTATTATAAGATTTACAAGACTTTTCTTATTATTATTTTTCTTAATAGATAAATTCCTAACCTGCTTGAATATTCAGGTGAGGGTGGCCAAATTATTAATCTGCTTTCTTCTCTAATACGTTTTCGTCTAATAATCATTAGTATTAGTATTAATATTAATTATAAAAATATAAAAGATTTTCATGTATATATATATATATATGTATGTATGTATGTATCTATACATACTGTTCATAAAACGCTTCATTTTTTATCTGTGATTTTCCCCAACTAGTAGTTTCTCTCTCAATATTTTTCACTGTATTTCTCTCCCAATCTTTGTTATAGTTTCTATTATCTTGAATTTTCCCTCTATCCCACTCTCTTTTATTATTTCTATCTCTTTCGTTGTCAGTATCAATATCGCTATTATTTTTATATCTCTTTCTATTTCTTTCGATATCTTTTTCTCTTTCCATATATCTTTCTCTCTCTCTTCCTCCAGTTCGCGCTCTCTCTGTATATCTTTCTTTTTCCCTTTCTCTTTCTCTTTCTCTTTCTATGTCTCTTTCTTCAATTCTGTCTTTTTCTCTTACTCTTTCCTTTTCTCTCTCTCTCTCTATGTCTCTTTCTTTGTCTCTTTCAGATTCCCAGAAAGAAGAAGCTTTATATCTTGACATTGTTGAATTAAGTTTAAATTATTTTTGTACTACACTATATTTGAGAAATGCATTAGTATGTTTGTTTTGATTGGCTCTAAAGTTCGTATCACATTAACCATTCTTATTGCCAAGAAGAATTTGTATTACGAATAAAAACTACTATACTCTTATAAGCAAGGTCCGAAATATTTGTAAAATTTTAATTAAACGGTTTATTGATTATTCTTTCACTTTGGTCAAAAGTGATGTTAATCTTTTTTTTTAAAATAAATTATATGAAATAAATTTCATTAAAATTACTAGTGGTGTTTAGAAACCGCTGATACGAATACAATCTAATAAATATGACTTTTTATTGTTAATTATGTTAGAAAGTAGCCTATTTCCAATATTGATATATAACCCATCTAATACTTCTCTAGAATTTACAAATAAAGATATCACGCGTTTTGATAACCGCGCAGATAACAATAATAATACATATGAAATTTAACTTTAAATACAGGATATATATAATAATAATACTTAAAATATTTAACCAAATATTTTCATATAAATATTTAAACAAAATCCAATAAATTTCATTGACCAATTTCTAAATATAACGTCAAATTTATTACGACAAGCAACATGTAATCGTTGACAAGCCTTTCTCGAATTCAACACATCGGGTGAAGATCGATTGATCATTTCATCCTCATAATTTTTTATACATTCCTCCCAACCCTTTTCATCCCAATCTAATAAAGATTGTGACAATTTATCTGCGTCTCTCATTGCATGATTCATGCCCAAGCCGAGAACAAGATTCATTGCATGTATAGCATCACCTATTAATGTAACACGATCAACTGGCCATCTTTCTATAGATTTTGGATCAAGATCTCTCAATGGAAATTTATTTGGACGATAATTTTCAAATGGATAATTTTTACCTACAGATCCACTTTTAGATGGTAGATCTTCCGGAATTATATCTAACATTTCTTTCACGACATCACCAAATTCCGAATTTTCTCGTTTCTCGTTAATCATTTTTTTTACCCAACTGATTACTTTTCCGGGTTGATTATTTTCTTTGTTAAAACTAGCATAATCATCACTATCGTAATCATCAAATGATGATGGATAAGTATACGAGAATGTAAATCTGTAGTGAATATCATCATCTTGTGAATCTTTTGTTTCGACTGGGATGAGTCTAAAGAATGAAGCCAAACAATCTCCACAATCTCCCAATGATATTTTAAATACGCTATAAGAACTTTTTGAAAATCTTTCGACAAGATTTTTACTTGGTGCAATGTCAAAGACTACACATGATACTCCCAAATTTTTTACCTCCAAGTCTGGTAATTTCTGTTTACGAACTATTTTTTAAAACAGTAAATTAATGATTAATTTGAAACGAGAAGTATTTTTTTAAAAAAAAAATATTTTAATTAATTTACCAAGTGAATTAATTCCATCAGATCCAACCAAAATATCACCGAACTCTTTTGTACCGTCATCAAAATAAGCCCAAACACCATTTTCGTCTATCTCATATCTAACAAATTTTTTATTCCATTGTACATCTAAATCTTGCAACAAAAATTCTCTTATTTTATCCCTAAAAGTTATCAACACCGTGTTGTCATGATTTATCTCGGAAAATTCACGCAAATTATTAAATTTTTTAGAAGGAAATGAAGTCAACAATTCTCCGAATTCATCCACGATCGAGAGATCGTTATCTTCACCTGTAATCGGGTCAGGAAGGATTTCATTTAACCGATCGGATAATTCTGTTGGAAGACAATTTATAAGTGATTTTACACCAAATGGTTTTGCTGAAATATGATATCCTTGCAAACGAGCTACAAAATACAATTATTATCGTTGTTATTATTATTATTATTATTATTATTATTTAATTACATATATTATTAATTATTTTGATATCAACCTTCCGGTCTTGCATCCCTCTCGAATATTTTAACATTAAAGTTCATTTTATTTTCACTGTGATTTTTTAAAAGTCCTTGAGCAAACAATAACCCGCCTATTCCAGCCCCAATAATGATTACAGTAGGCATTTTTTCGATACTATTTGAATTTTTTTTTTTAAAAAAGTTTAAAATGTATGTATGTATGTATGTATTTAATTCTTTATGTATTTTTTTTTAATTCCTTCGAAAATGAATTTCTTCCACGTATTTATAATAATGACAAGATAGTATATATAGTAAATTTTATTTTTAGTAAATCATTTATAAATGCCAATTCTTTGTTTCCTCCTTCCCAACGATAATTTCCACGATCGTCTTTAAACATTTTTGACTCATTAAATCACTTCTTGTGAATTGTAGTGTAACGGATAAATTATATCCGATTTCTATAAAACGCAAGTATTAAATAATATTCGTATAGTTTCCTAATAAGTATTCATGTTAACAAACAAAATATACTTCATGTGCGGAATACAATTCCTCTGTCTGTCATTTTGTATCTGAGTTTGTGTGAGTCATGCGTCAATTATCATAGTTACAAATATCTCTACAAAAACAATATAGCAATTCTCATATATTAATATAGTTAGCTCTGAAAATAAATAATACCCTGTAAAAAATTTACTCCGTGATTAGTCTCGGTGTTTTTTCCATTATTAAACTCGGTGTTTATATTCATGGAATCTATAGTTGCGTTTTTTTATTAAAAATGGAGATTTCACTGAATAAATTAATTAATAAAATGGATAAAACTTGGATAAATGACTGAGCATTTACTGAATAAAACAATTAATAAAATGAATAAATTCTTGAATAAATTTAATTAATAAATAAATTTTCAAGTGGTCTACTAAAGATGGCTCCTCAATTAATTGAGACTAGTTGCAGCAGTTGTGGCACATGAAAATGTAATTGCAGCTAATTGTGGTTCCAATCTTTAAATGTTAATAACATGATAAAATGGTAAATTTTTGAAAGATTATGGATTAGTAATAGTAATGTACGTGCAGCAACACGAAAATTTGTATGTGGTACATCACAACTTTGAGTTAACACCAGTCCGTGTTCTGTTTGAAGAATTGTAATTGATTTGAAAGTAATGTAAGTATTAAGACTAGATTAGAAAATTTTTTTAAAATTCAAAGCAACAAAAGAATAATATTAGTGTGACCATATTTTAATATTATTAATTATTTATTTTTAGAAAATTCAGCATCAAAAATTTTAGTTGATATATTCTTGTAATAATAACATTATACAATCAAATTGGTTGTTATTATTATATTATTATTATATGTGATAACAATTCTTTCTGATTGTACACCGCCAGATCTAAAAAAGGTGATTAATAACTATAATTGGTAGAATATATTAACTAGAATTTTTGATGTTGAATTTCTACCTATTTTCTAAAAATAAATAATTAATAATAGATAAATATGGCCGCGTAACAATTCTTTCTGATCGTACACCACCAGATCCAAAAAAAGTGATTAATAATTATAATTAGTAGTATAATTGTTATTACAAGAATATATCAGCTAGAATTTTAATTAAAATAATAATAGATAGAATATGGTCACGTAACAATTCTTTCTGATCGTTACACCACCAGATCTAAAAAAGTGATTAATAACAAGCTTATAACTGAGAACGCAATGTGAGCTTTTGCTTTTCGTGTTACAAAACACACATACCGTGCTACGCGAGA